TCCTGCACCGCCTCCTCCACTTCCCGCTCCTCCCTCGTCTCCTCCTCCCTCCTGATCCACTTTGACCTCCTCCGCCTCCCTCTCTCCTCCCCCCCTTTCTCTTTCCCCCCTCCCCCCCCGGCGCCTCCACCAAGAGGGGGGGCGAATCCCACTGGCGCTGCTTCCGGCCGCCCTCAGGACTGCAGGGGAAGGTGAAGCAGAAGGTCGCGGAGTTCCCCAGGGCCACAGGAGAGCTTCCGGGCGCGCGGGGGGAGGGGGGCCACAGGGCGAGGGCGCGAGAGGGTGGGAGAGGGAGAGAGAAGGAGGGGGAGAGGGCGCCGGAGATCGCAACGGTTGGACGAGCCAGAGTTCGTCAGGCCCCGCGGCCACGAGCGTGGCGCGGGCCAGCCTCACGGGGCGGGAGTTCTGCAGCAGGGGTGGTGGGGCGACCTCCCCCCTAGCGCGGTGCCGGGGACTCCGCCTGGAGAAGAGGGCGGGCGGCGGTGAACATGCCGCGATGGGGCCCGTCTGCGCCCCCGTGGCAGAAGCGGTGCCTCTGCCCCCACCCGTGGCTCGCGCGATGCAGCACTCAGGACAGTGAAAGGCGCCGCCTCTGGGCGTCCCCCGCGGCGGCCCGGGAAGAGCGGACGACGGTGCGGGTGCCAAGTGCCGGTGGCCAGTGGGGGAGGAGGTGTGGCCAATCTCTGGTGTGCCGCCCGTCGGGCGTCGAACAAGGCCTGGAGGTTGCCAAGGAGGGAGGCCCCCATAGCGGCAGCGGGCCGGAAGGCCTGCTGCAGGCCGCTCGAGGCCTCTTGCGGTCGGTGGCACCTGTCGATAAGTGGGGCTGATTGCTTCTGTAGTTGGTGGAGGGAGAGCCCTAGCTGGTTGGCAGGACGTTGAAGCGTCTGCACGCTGGCGGCGACGCAGGCATCTTTTCGGGACAGGTTTCTGTCGGGTGATGTTGTTTTTTGGTGGTCTTTGCCAGGTGGCTTGGACTGGGTTCGTGCAGAGGGCGCGCGGCGAGGACCTTTCGGAGCCATGGCGCGCGCGCGCGGATACAGAGGGAATTTGGCACGAATCATTCACACGCTGTGATGGCGTGTCCAGTTTCGCGATGCGATCAACGGAAATGTTGTGCGCTTCGTGCCCTGGCTGCGCGCTGGGTCAGAAACATTCGGGCCGAGATTGGGGGAGGGCGCGAAAGAGGACGACGGTCCCGACGGCGCGAGAGTGCTGGAGGGAGAGGGAACGGGTGTGAAGGAGGGATGGAATTTCGAGTCTTCTGGGCCCCCTGGAGGCCTCCAGGGTCCTCTTCCTGAGACGCCTGTAGACTCCGAGCGTGCGGGAGAGGCACGACGTGGGGATAACGGAAAGGGGGGGAGGGCCTTTTGTGGAAGAGAGAGAGAGAGAGAGAGAGAGGTGGGGCAGGAGGGCGGCACAGGGCAGAGGAGAAGCCAGTGCAGAGGTGGGAGGGGGGGGAGGGGGCAGGACGGAACAGCTGAGGGCAGACTGGGGGAGGGCAAGCCACTGGCGCTCGTGTCGTATCTCCGTATCTATGTATATGGCATCCGTCTGTTCCCGCCCATCCCCTCCCACTGTGCTGACCCTTCTATACTCGCTGACTGGTGTCATAAATGACCCCATCGCGCCATGCGCAAGCAGACAAGGAGAGCTGTGTACATTGGAGGATGTGGCTGAGGAGGAGGAATAGGAGGAGGAGGAGGAGGGTAGGAGGAGGAGGAGGAGGAGGAGGAGGAGGAGGAGGAAAGAGGAGGAGGAGGAGGAGGAGGAGGAGGAGGAGGAGGAAAAAGGAGGAGGAAAGAGGAGGAGGAAAGTTGAGGAGGAGGAGGAAAGAGGAGGAGGATGAGGATGAGGAGGAGGAGGTGGAGGAAAGAGGAGGAGGAAAGATGAGGAGTAGGAGGAGGTTCAGGAGGAGGAGGAGGAGGAGGAGGAGGTGGAGTAGGAGGAGCAGGAGGAGGAGGACCCGTGGAAACCCAAGAGGCATCAATGATGTTGGAATTAACCCTCCCACCAAGCTCTCTCTTCATAGGCCTCTACAACGGTTCATTTCCATTGAGGGAACTGCCTCGTTGGAAGACAACATTTTGAAGATCCTGAAGCGTGCCGAGACTTTGTTCTCGGGAGTTCAACGCCACGTATTAACCTGACTGCTGCGTCTTGACGATCCAGAATCGTGCCAGTACGCCGTTTATGGGACTTCATCACAGCGAATCAACATAACTGTTGCGCCCGCATGCTCCAGAATCCTTCCACAACGCACTTTCTGGTGCGTCGTTCATGGGAAGCCGTGACACTCTTGCAATTTGTAAGGCAAGTGTACGCGGCGCTGAGGCGAGAGCCACACTTTGAAAAGGAACCGCCGAACCGCCCTCAACCCGTGAAGCTCTAGCAAGTTTTTAGAGCGAATGTGCGCGGCGCTGAAGCGAGAGCTACATGTTGAAAACGACCCGTCCTCAATCCGTGAAACTCTTGCAGATTTCTAAGACGAATGTGCGCGGCGCTGAGGCGAGAGCCACACGTTGAAAACGACCCGCCCTCAGTCCGTGAAGCTCTTGTATTTTTTTGGAAAGCGAATGTGCGCGGCGCTGATGCGAGAGCCACATGCTGAAAACGACTCGCCCTCGATCCGTGGAGCTCTTGCACATTTTTAAGACGAACGTGCGCGGCGCCCAAGCGAGAGCCACATTTTGAAAACCACCCGCCCTCAACCCGTGAATCCCATGCAAATATTTAAACGAATGCGCGCTGCGCTAAAGCGAGAGCCGCATTTTGAAAACCACCCGCCCTCAATCCGTGAAAGGAATGCGCGCGGTGCTAAAGCAAGAGCCACAATTTGAAAGCGACCGGCCCTCCATCTGTGAACATATGGTCGCTTTTTAAGCTTCAGAGTGATCGATTGTGAGGAAGTCTCAGGCGAAACGCCCAGCCCGCCCTAAACAACTGGCCTCGGGGTGCGACAGGGAGGAGTTACCTCTAAGGATATGGACTGGAGGAGGCAGAGGAGGAGGAGGAGGAGGAGGAGGAGGAGGAGGAGGAGGAGGAGGATGAGGAATAATGATAGTACTAAGAAGAATAATGATACAACTACTAATAACAATAATAATACGGATACTCAGAAAGCGAATGATATGAATAAGACGCAGACGACGAATCATACTAATAGTACCAATAAGCAGGCTAACAATAATACTAAGTATACTACTACTACTACTACTACTACTACTACTACTACTACTACTACTACTACTACTACTAATCATAGTAGTACTATTAACACTAATCATAACAATACTAAGACGAATCGTAATACTACCAAACTAGTAAGACGAATACTAATATTCAAAAGAAGAATAATAATACGAAGGTGAATAATACTAGTACTAGTACTACTAATGATATCAACAATAACAGTAATAGCAACAACCATACTATCACTAGTAAGAAGAGGAGGAGGAAGAGGCGGAGGAGGAGGAGGAAAGAAGATGAGGATGAGGTTGAGGATGAGGAGGAGCAGGAGGAGGAGGAGGATGAGGGGGGAGGAGGAGGAAGAGGAGGAGGAGGAGGAGGAGGAGGAGGAGGAGGAAGAGGCGGAGGATGAGGATGAGGATGAGGATGAGGAGGAGGAGGAGGAGGAGGAAGGAGTAGGACGAGGAGGAACAGCAGCAACAGGAGGAGAGGGGGTGCGGGCGGGCGGGGGTGTCGGAGGGCCGCCGCAGGACCAGCCGCCCCGAAGACGGAGGACGGCGAGGCCAAGGAGGGCTCGGTGGACGCGCTGCGGGGCGAGGTGATGAAGACCTCGCAGAAGTGCTCCCTGGCGCAGCAGTCCGCGGGGCCCTCGGGGGGGGGGCCGGCTGGGCGGCCCGGGGCTCGTGCCGCGCGGCGCGGGGCTTGACGAGCGAGACGTGTTCGCCTGGTGGCCCTTCGGCCCTGCACGCTACCGTGCCGGGTCGTCGGGCAAGAGGCCTGTTGGAGGTCTCGTAGGATCTGTTGGGAAGCCTCTCGGAGGGAGTCTTAGATGGCCCTCCTGGGGGGATCCTGCGCTCGTGGGCGTCTTGGGTGCCTTTGAGGGCCGCTCGGGGGCCCTCCGGGCGCGTGCTGACTGCCTCTGGGGGGCGTGGGCGCACCTAGCTTGCCTCTCTCTTCTCTCCTCTCTCCTCTGCTTTCCTTTCCTCTCCATCATCTTGTTCTGGAGGAGTCGATCTACTGAGCGGCGCCGAGGTGATGACCATGAAGGGCAAGATGAAGCAGGCGAAAGCTGAACTCACCAGGAAGGAAAACAACGAGAAGAACGCCCATGTCTTGGCCAAAGAGCAGCGGGAGATCGACGAGGCACGAGGAGGAGGATGAAGAGGAGGAGGAGGAGGAGGAGGAGGAGGAGGAGGGAAACAAGGATGGGGAAGACGTCGAAGGAGGGCAGGGATGGGGATTACTATTATTATAATTTTTGTTATTCGCAGTGTTGTTGTTATTTGTACGCGTATTGTGCTTATGTTAGCCTCGATCGTCAAACACCTCCCACCGTGCATGTCATATGTCAGCACGACATGCCACATGGCACACGTACATACGTATATGTTTCCGTTGGCCTCTTGATGCGTGTTTCGCTTGATTCCTTGTGCCTGGAGCCCCCCTGTGCCTACTCTGGCTGTTCTCTTGCGTTCAAAGGTTCTTAACCATCATGATGGATTGTTCCCCAATCAGAGCTTGCCTCTGTAGGGGTCCTAGCAGATTCATACGGTTAGGTTAGGTTTGTCGCCGATTTTCGCTGCACGCCCGGGTGCCCGGGTGCCGGGGGGTGCCCGGGGCCCCGGTGCCCGGGGTGTGCCCCGGGGGTGCACGGGTGCCCGGGTGCCCGGTTGCCTGGGTGCCCGGGCGTGCCCGGGGGTGCCCGGGGGTGCCCGGGGGTGCCCTATAGCCCTATAGCCCTAAGCCCTATAGCCCTATAGCCCTATAGCCCTATAGCCCTATAGCCTTACAACTCTATAGCCCTATAGCTCTATAGCCCTATAGCTCAATAGCCCTATAGCCCTATAGCACCCTAGCCCTATAGCCCTGATTGTTTTTTTCTCCGGTATCATTTGTCAATGCAATTTCTTCGTCGATAGTTGGATGGCAGAGTTAGCCCGACTGATCCAGTGGAAGCTAATGGCGTCCACTGTTGGGCATCGCGTTTTTGTCAGTTGTTATCGGTGTGCGGCCCCGCCTGCACTTCAAGGGCAGCCTGTCTTGATATGCAGATCGCCTACACCAACATATTGGTCTTCACAGGTGCGCACGTGTGTGCATTCTGTTTAGTATCGGCCGCTTGTGTTTCTTGTCCAGTCAGGCACGGGAGCAGGGTGCCCACTATGCACGAGAAATACAGGCAAGGGAGTCATTATAGGGTGGAGCAGACGGCGAAGAGCCAATATACTCTGAAATTAAGTTGCGACGCCTGAAAGGACCCGACTGTTGGGAGTAGTGAATCGAGGGAAGCGGTATGAGATTCGACTGTACATCAGCATGTATTGTGTATTAGGGAGTAGAGACAAGAGAAGATGCGATTGGCTTGTTCGTCTACTGTCTTAACTTGGTACTGCGGAGTGCGTTGCTCTGATCTTCCTCTCCCACAGGTGATGACTCCTGCAACCGACAGCGCGAAACTTGTGGAGACCAACTCCAAGGCTTTGGAGGACATCACTGCGCCATTCCTTGCGCTTATGCAAGGGCCCTCGCCGACTCCGCCAGCCCCGCCCGCAAGAAGGTGGGATTGCCAGGGACCGCAGCGAAACAACGCCCACGCCCCGCAGCCGTACTCCTCACCTCCCGTCATTTCCATCATTCCTCCGTCTCTCCTTTCCTTGATGTTCTCTCCCTCCCCAATCGCTACCTTTTGTCTCTGGCTCTCCCTCTCCTTAGGATGCAACCCCCGGAAGGTCAACTTCAGCATCGGCGCTAGTATATCCGTTGGCGTCATCCAGCCTAATCTGGCGTAGTCCCGCTTGATTCGGCTTCATCTCGCTGCATCATGAGTTTAATCTGGGATAGTCCGACTGAGTGGCCCCTGCATCTTGCTTCACAGCTCTCACTCGCTCTTGCGACGACGGGCAGGAACGTGACTCCTCGGAGGCCCGTGCGGATCTCCTGGACCGGCGCCGGACCCCCCTCCCCGGCGCGCGGAGCTCGCTGAGGGTGGCGCCCTGAGGCGCCGCCAGGGGGGCCCAATGCCGATCCGAGACATCCGTGCGGGCCTCAGAGAGATTGTGGTTCATGCCGCTCTCTGTGATGCGGATGCGCCCGCGTTGCGCATGCCGCGGCCGCCCGCGGATGCCGCATGCCGCAGCCGCCGAGGGCGGTTCGAGGCAGCGTGCGCGGGCTCGCCGCCGCCCGGGCTCCTCTTGGCCGCGCCGGCACACCGCCGGTGCTGGTCGGGTGCCCTCGCAGTCGTGCTCGCCCGAGCCAGAGTGGCCACAGTTGGTAGCGATGGCGATGAACGGTTGGTGGCGGTTGTGGTAGTGCTGTTGATGGTGGTGGCTATGATGATGCTGCTGCTGATGATGATGATGCTGATGCTGATGCTGATGATGGTGATGACGATGATGATGACGATGATGATGACGATGACGATGATATTTATGAACATGTTGATAACGTTGATGGTGGTGATGATGATTACGATGACGATGATGATGACGATGATGGTGGTTATGACGATGATGATGATGGTGGTGATGATGATGACGATGATGATGATGCTGATGATGCTGATGATGATGGTGATGGCGATGGTGATGGTGATGACGATGAGAGGATGATGACGATGACTATGATGACGAGTAGTTTGGCAACGCCACTTAGTCTGAGTTCGACCAGGACATCACGCATACATGCAGATAAGATGAAGACATGTAGGTGCTGAGGACCCTCGTGCGGAAGACGACGATGACGATCAAGCCAATGGCTTTGAAGACAGAGGGCTTGCTGAAGATGATGCGGGCCAGGCACAGTGCATTAGGAACAGGCGACGGGTTCGGAAGCCCTCCTTGCAGAGAAGCCCGACTCCGAGAGCGGTCGCCCGAGGGACATCGCGGGCAGGAGACGGCACGCTGCTCGATACGCCCGAGTGCACACTGGCACAATCGCGGCAGAGAAGCACGCTCGCCGCGCTCCTGCCCGTCCGCGCGCTGCGAACGGTTTCCCCTCGGGACGGTCACTCGCGTGGGCGCCAGGAGGGTTACCTGTCAGCGTTCATTGCAGTCAACCCGCATAGCAAGGATGGGCAACCTCCCAAAGGGTACCCTCGCATCCTTGCCTCCTCGGTCCATCCTTGGCTACTTTCGTTGGCCGCGCCCCGCTCGAAAAGCTTCGAAATGGCGTCCAATGCCCTTGTATCCTTATCGCGCATCCTTATGATATGGGCCGACTGTATGGTCGCACGATGACTGCAGAGGCGCCCCGAAAGGGGGGGCAAGCGGAAGGAGGAAGAGCTGCAGGCGTTTGAGAACCCAGCGTCCACGCTGAAGGAGGACCGCCGGGGAGCGACGAGCAGCGCGGCGCATCTCCTGCTCTGCCCCTCCGCTCCTCTGCCTGCAGGTTTCTTCTCCTCCTCCTCCCTCCTCCTCCTCCTCCTCCTCCTCCTCCTCCTCTTTCCGCCCCCTCTTCCTCCCCCACTCCTCCTCCTCCTCCTCCTCCTCCTCCTCCCCCCCTCCTCCTCTTCTTCCTCCTCCTCCTCCCTTTTCCTCCTCCTCCTCCTCCTTCTCCTTCTCCTACTCCTCCTCCTCCTCCGCCTCCTCCTCCTCCCCCTCCTCCTCCTCCTCCTCCTCCTCCTCCTCCTCCTCCTCCTCTTCCCCCTCCTCACACGCGCCAGCTGGAAGTCATACACCACAACCACAGTTTCACTTCGATCCGACCTGTCCGATTCGACATTGATCTCGGGCGGCCCGATCCGATCCGACTCCGATACTCCGACGATCCGACGCGGCCCGATTCCTGCACGGTGCTGTCGTGCATCCCGGCGCGACCGACCCCACTCGATTTCAGCGATTTCAGCTCCACGTGGATGCGGCTCCATCCGACGCGCATTCGTATCCAATGCGATTCCCCGATTCGACGTTGAGTGATCCATCCCCGGCCAAGCCCATCTTGGACCCAGCCAGCCTCCATCCCCAGCCAGGTCCATCTTGGACCCTGGCTGGTGCTGGTAAGCACCAGCCCAGGGGCTGGCATGGGTCTGTCCAGGGCTGCTCGTGGTGTTCCGTTTTCGGCTCCAGGTCGGCTTTCGTCATGAGTCGTTCTTTTGCGGTCCCCGAACTCAGTGACAGCCCTCAGAGGCCGAACTCGGCGAGAACCTCCGTTCTGTTTTTTTCAATGCGTTGGAGGTCTGGATCTCTCCTCCTTCCTCCCATTCCAGTTTCCTCTTGCAGCTCCCCCCTTCTCCTTCCTCCCTTCTCCCGACCCCCTCCCTTCCGACGTCGCAATTCGTTGCTAATGTCGGCCCCCAGGGGTCTCGACCCTTTCCCTGGTTGCTGCTTTTCATCATCAGTCGTTTCTTGACGCACCAGGGGATCCAGGACGGCAGATGGCCTCCAGAGGCCAGAAACGATGAACCGCCTGCCGCCGTTTTTTTGTTGTTTCTTTGTGGGGGGGTCAGTTTTTTTGTTGTCGTGGCTGTTGTGGTTGTTGTTGCTGCTGTTGCTGTTGCTGTTGTTGTTGTCGTTGTGGTTGTAGTTGTGGTTGTCGTTGTTGTTGTCGTTGTTGATGCCGTTGTTGATGTTATAGTTGCTGCTGTTGCTGTTGCTGTTGCTGTTGTTGTTGTTGTTGTTGTTGTGATTGTTGTTGTTGTCGTTGTCGTTGTCGTCGTTGTCGTTGTCGTTGTTGTTGTTGTTGTGGTTGTTGTTGTTGTTGTTGCTGCTGTTGTTGTTGTTGCTGTTGTTGTTGTTGTTGTTGTTGATGTTATAGTTGCTGCTGTTGCTGTTGTTGTTGTTGTTGTGATTGTTGTTGTTGTCGTTGTCGTTGTCGTCGTTGTCGTTGTCGTTGTCGTTGTTGTTGTTGTTGGTGTTGTTGTGGTTGTTGTTGTTGTTGTTGATGTTGATGTTGCTGTTGTTGTTGTTGTTGTTATTGTTGTTGTTGTTGTTGTTGTGGTTGTTGTTGTTGTTGTTGTTGTTGTTGGTGTTGTTGTTGTTCTTGTTGTTGTTGTTGTTGCCGTTGTCGTTGTCGTCGTCGTCGTCGTTGTTGTTATTGTTGTTGCTGTTCTTGGCGTTGTTGTTGTGGTTGTAGTTGTGGCTGTTGTTGTTGATGGTCTTGTTGTTGTGTTATGTTTGTTGTTGTTTGTTTGTTTGTCTGTTTGTTTGTTTTTCCTATTTTTTTGCGTCGCCTGGATCTGAGGGCCCTCCTCCTGATGGTCCCCCCGCCTTTAGGGACAGCGTGCACTGACGAAGCCCCGGCACAGGGGGCAGTTGGCGCAGCAGGGGCCCTCGCGGAGGGCTCGCCGCGCAGGGATAATTGGCGTGCTTTCTCGGAGGTCGATGCTGCACGCCGCTTTTCCAACGCAAGGCCGTAGTCCTTCCCCTCGCAGGCCTAACACCAACACCAATATCGGTGATGTGCCTCCACCGAGGGAAGGAGATCCCGATCTCGGTGGTGGTGGTAATAGTCTGGCTTCCAAAGCGACCGAAATGTTACCACCGACACCGAAGTCCAGGATCATCTTGCCCCTGTGGAGGCACCCCCCCTGTGTTGGTGTTGGTGCCCACTTCCAGGCCTCCCGTCCCCCGCCTCCCCTCCCGCCCCCCGCTGCCCCCCCCCCCCCGCCTCCCCGACGGCGGCGGCGGCGACGCCCGTAGGCCGAGCGCCTGCTGGCCGCGGTCGTCGAGGCCGCTGGGGAGACGAAGAGCGTGGCGATCCGGGGGCTCGAATCCGTCGTGGTCGTCCTTCGTCGCCGTCCTTCGTCGTCGTCGTGGCCGCTCGTCGTCGTCGTCGTCGTCGTCGTCGTCGTCGTCCTTCGTCGTCGTCCTTCGTCGTCGTCGTGGCCGCTCGTCGTCGTCGTCGTCGTCGTCGTCGTCGTCGTCGTCGTCGTCGTTGTGGTCCTTCGTCGTCGTCGTCGTGGTCGTTCGTCGTCGTCGTTGTCATCGTCGTCGTTCGTCGTCGTCGTCGTCATCGTCGTCGTCGTCGTCGTCGTCGTCTGTCGTCGTCGTCGTCGTCGTCGTCGTCCGCCTTCTCTTCGTCCTTCATTTCCGCCTCCTCTCTTTTCTTCTTCATCTCGTTGTCCCCCTTCACATTTTCAGCCGAGGGGGGCCTTTGGAGGCTCTCGGGCCTCCTGTTTGCAAGTCATGGGGTGTTGATCACAGGAGGGCGATGTCCGTCCACGGGGTAGGCAACCCCTCTTCCTTGCTGCTGCTGCTCTTCCTCGGCCTTCCGGACTCGAAGTTGTGGACTTTCGTTGGACGGTGCTGCTCCTTTTTTGATGTATTCTATGCCTCCGCGGAGATCTCTCGATTGGGTCCCATAGCCTTCCGATTCCGATCTTACAAAACGGTCTGCCGCGTGCACCAACCTGACAAGGACAGGATCATCTGATCGAGTGAGTCGGCCTGTCGGCTCTTCCTCAGCTCCTTTCCATGACCTGTACCCTGTACTGAGTTTTAGTCTCTCCGTCGGCGCCGAGGCGCCACCGCCTAACCTCTTCGTACGACCGTCCGGCGGGACGAGGGCAGTCAAGACGCTGAAACGAGGACTGCTATGGCCTCATGAGGAGCTCGGGTTTTCGGGCCGTTCCTTGTTAGTGCGGAGTGTGCTTGCAAACGGGCACGGGATTGAGGGGCCCAACGACGTGTTCACCGTGCTCCCCTGTATTCCATTATATATTCGCTCAAGCTTTCACAGGTTCGCTCGCATGGGCCCCCCGTGCGGGCCCCAGACTGCCGCGGCGGCGGTCGCGGTCCATGTGGCGGTGGCGCTAGGGATCTGGAGCTCGACGCCCACGCTCATCTGCCCGCAGCCGGTGCGCCCGGCCCCCTTCTGCCCAGCGCTGATTCGTCCCGACTGCGTGTTGACGGCAGCGGCTCCGGACTCGGGGCCGCCCGGGGGCTCTGCGGTTCTCGGACTGGGCGAGGTGCCCAAGGAGCTGGCGGAGACCCACCTGACGGTGGTCCGCCTGGAGGAGCGACTGGCGGGGCTGCAGACGGCGCTCGAGGAGGAGGAGGAGGAGTTTATGCGTGAGCTCGGACCGGTCATGCGGTTCGCTGTTTGGTATGAGGACGACACTTACTGGCACGAGCGGATAGCGATGGCGGCTCACCTCGTTCCCGGCGTGGAGCTTCTGGATCCGATGAAGGGGCACTTCTATGAGTTTGGTGCCGCGCCCGACGCGTCCGAGCTGGTGGAGCAGATCAAACTGGCAGAGGGCGAGGCGTTCGGGATCACCAGGCGTCGGGGGCCGGCGCACGAGGCCATCACGCTGCAGCACATGCCGCTGGTAGTGGGTGACGGCCGCGCGGTGCCGGGCGTTGCGCCAGGCGCGGCGGCCCCGGCGCTGGCCACGCCGGCTGCCCCGCCATCTGACGTCACGTCGCTGATCATCGGCCCGGTGCATCCCCGCTTCGGACGAGAACGGCACCCGTCCTCTGATGCGGAGACGGCGGGGGAGTACGCGAGGGCTCTAGAAGTCAGTCGTCGGCCGATGCCAGTGAAGCGAGTGCCGATCTCCATCGTCGTGACCTTCCTTGACACGGGGCACATGCGGGTGCCCAGGATCTTGGATGACGAGGCCGCCGCCATGAAGGCGGGTGGAGGGCTGGAGGGCCGCCTGAGCGATGCCCTAGACGGTGGCACGAAGACGTCCCCAGCTGGTGCGGATGCGAGGACCCTGACGGTGAGCCACGACGAGCACGGGGAGCGGCACCGGGACTGGCGGTTAGTCTGCGCGGAGATCTCGTACGGCCATTTCGGTGAGCGGGAGAAGTACCATGAGGGGCCTCCTGTGACGTTGTCGTCGCTCAAGAACATCCAGCGTCAGGGAGGCGACCCCCGCCGTTTCCTTCCCATCTGGCGCCGAGATTCGGACGTGAGCCCGCAGGGGCGCGCGGGCATCGAGATGAAGCTGCTGCCGAGGAGCCTCTACCTGAGCGGCGGCTACGGCCAGGTCAACGGCCCTTCCCTTGCGAGAGTCAAGGCCATGCCGAGGAGGGTGTGCCAGATCATCGAGGCCCACTCGGCAGGGACCCCTGGCCGCGCCGATTGGGAGGACGTGAAGTGGGCTGGCGCGGAGGCGGGGAAGGCTCAGGCCCTGGGGTGATGGTCGCGGCCGGCGCCGGCCGTGGTCGAGCCGACGCTGGAGGCCTAGATCCGGCGGCTGACGATGAGCGAGTGAGGCGCGTCGCCATGTTGCCGCTCTTCCCCATTCCCCTCGCCCCCGCGCCCACCATGCCCAGCGGACGTGGCCGACAGGCCTCGGGCCTGAAAGGCCATTTGCGACGACTGAATGCAGACGTCAACGCAACTGTGAAGGCTTTGAATTGGATGGC